TACTTGTGTATGATTTACAATCATAGTGAAGTCCTGGGCATGTGCATATGAGATATGTTGCTATTAGAAAAAGGAATGCTTTTAAGGTTAACATTTTCTATAGATATAATACAATATGTACTTATGGGCAATGCTTCAAGGGGTCACTTACTATAGACAGTATAATTGCGGCATAGGTACTTGAAGGTATAACATACACATGAATAAAGAAAATGTGGGCACTTGGGACTCAGTGTTGCTAGATAGAAAATGTGATACTTCACAGGGGTCACTGGCAACAGACAGTATACCATGTAKTTGTTTTCTTGTCCTTATAAAAGTGAAGTTAATACTCGGCACATGGGGTGTTTCTATTTAAAAAAATGCCRTGGTATAAAGCAATACATCAAAATGCAAAAAATATGATCATTTTAAGACATATTTCAAAGTATATATTGCATAAATCAGAAATTATTGGATATATTTGCTGATATTTTTTTGAAATGTGTGCCTTTGGTACTTTCTGAAAAAAATATTGGAGATATCCCATAATTTCTGATATATTTAATATATACTTGAAATATGAGCAAAAAAGATCATAATTTCTGCATATTGCTGTATATCCAAGCAAGGGTGAGGTACCGGTAAACAATCTGGGCATATGTGGTGTTGCTTCAGCAAATGCGAAAAATTATACTTCAAAGTGGTCAATAGACAGTACAATGGAATACCTGTATGACAGTCGCAAATGGTGAGGCAAATAATCTGGGCATATAGTATGATACTAACATAGTAAATAAAAAGTAATGAAGTGAATTGCTAGAGATTTACACTTGTACGTATAGTTAAAATTAATAATTGGGCATGTAGGTTAATATAGAAACAGTAATGCTTCAAAGGGTGACTTGCTATAGAAAGTGCACTTGCATATTTTTTATGATATAATACATATATCCATGAAAGTGGTGAAACAGATAATCTGGGCTATGACAACATACTATAGAAGAAGCGATAGGGTCAAAGTGACACATGTACAGTATGTAATATTTACAATAAAGTAAATAGTCTAGGCATATAGGCACATTAAATGTAGAAACAGTAAGTTATAATCATGGCACATAGAGCATTGTATAAACAGGGGTTACTGGGAAAATTTAATTTATTATAAATGAGAGGTACATGCTTTTTTAGTGAAATTATAGGGATGACTGTGAGGGGAGGTTGGAGACCATCTTTTTCTCTGATGAATGCTACATGTACATGTATATACTTTGTCAAACAATTGAAATTTGTGAATATTTAAAATATTTATCTCCATGTAAGTTAATAGAGGTTTACTTTAATTATTGTTGTTTGTTTTGTTATAAAGTTATTGTTACTTTGTAGTTTGTTTATTTACTACAGATAAATGCATGCCCAAAACTGCAAAGATGGTGGGTCTAGAGGTAAGAATAGAATGTACTGTGTGAAAATACAACTAAAAGTTGAGCAAAGAATTAAATTATTTTTCTCTATATTTCAGATTATGACAAGTCCTTGACAGTGGAACAACCTCAAACCCCACCATCGGATCTAKTTGGTGTAAAAGAGCACACTTGGCACTATTTGTCATGAGGACTGGGTGCGATTCCCAGATTGGATATGTGTGGGAAGGTTGTTTCAACTTTGTGATCATGGCTTATATACATGAGATCACATACAAATTTCTACTTGAAGTCATATGACTGYATAATAAAAAAAGAAAACATAACTGAGTGCACTATATTAATCTCTTTCACAGTTCCAAATTGCACTAGTCTTGAAACTAGGTAGAGTGATTGCACTTAAACCGTGCAACTGTATTTATAAAGTAAATAGTGCTATTTACATGTAGTTGTATTTAGTTATTTGTGCATGCGGTACGCAAATTAAATTGAATTGATACAAATGAAGCATTCAATACCGTCTTGCTTCAGGTCCACTTTTAGTACAAATTAGTACTACTTAGATTTTGTACAGTTGCACAGTTTAAGTGGGATCACTCTARTTKTGCATTTGCAACAAAGYGAGACAACTGTTAAGCATACTATGATAAMACCTGTAAGTTGTCTGAAAATTTATGAAAGAACTCGTTTCTATCACTGGATGCTCAATATAATGTAGTTATCTTGCTTTGATATAAAGGYAAACTTGGGTAATTTTTACAAAATGACTATTCAAATCCTAAAGTAAAAAGGCGTTTGTACAATCATTGACAAAATAGATTGTGACATCATCAGCAAAATGGAAGTTTTATCAAGAGGTGGTACTCATGCTCCAAACCTCCTCCCCCTCCCCTCTCCCTTACCTACAATGTTGTTTTACATAATGTCATAACACTTTTGAATGAACAATGCAAAAATGTACACAACATTGCTGGGCCTTGCTGGGGGAGGGATGAATTTTGCTGTATTGTCAAAATGTTGCGTTACTTTGTAGTTACCTATGTGTTGTGTCCCATCAAGTCACCTTTGTCGCACCTGTCCGGGCAATCTTCCCCACTTTGCATTTCAGTGATCAGGCCCTAGGTTTACCATGGTAGTAGAGARGTTTTGCTTATATTTGAGGTCATGTAAAATATGGTGAATTTCAACATACTGTAGTTAACTTAGTATGATTCAATAGCCTGTGAAAGAAAAASATTGCATTAGACTAAAAAAATATAAAGAAATGTGCAAACATAGAAGATGCCTAAGTGTGCTCTCACTCTAAGTATTGACAAAGTAAGCACTGTTTGCTTTTGTGTTAATTTGAAGCATATGTCCAGTCTAGTTCCAGTATTTTATTAAGGCAAGCAAGGATGATCAATCTGTTTTAGCATAGTTAGTAGAGGGAGACAGTCTCCCTCTACTAATTATAACTATGGTTTTTTTAGACGGCTGTTTTAGATGCAAGTCATGGGGATCGGATCGGTTGTTTTCACATACCAACGTATTGCAAAGYGATAAAGTTTTAAGTAAACATTGAGTAGAAGATACATTCAAAGAAATTCTGCTCTTACCAACAAAAAGGATCAACTTCCAAAAAGAAGCGGATGAGAAATGAACAACATGGCCGACGACGCAAATAGATTTGCGAGATTCCTGTGTTGGCGCCAAATGACGCAGAAGACAGGGAACCCAAATCTTCATACCATAAAAAATCTATTTCAATTTCTTCCAGTTTAATTTTTTCAGAAATAATTATAATTATTATACACCCTTTTAATAAGTCCCGAGGTATTGTGTTTTCCGCACTTGACGTCAAATTTATTCTTTTGAAATTTTTACAATACAAAAGGAATTCAAAAGAATAAATTTGACGTCAAGTGCGGAGAACAGAATACCTTAAGACTTATTAAAAGGGTGTATAGTTGATCTCTTTTCAAAAGTAACCTCAAATGCGCTCCAAATCTTATGTTATCATAGGAAAGGAAAAAAATTCTCCATATWATTCATTGAAAATAGAAAAACATCCTGCAAATATTTCCACCCGATATAAAAAAAATATGGTGTAAATAAGAAAAAATAATTGAAAAAAATAAAACAGTGTTGTCTGGGAGGCCTGTGTAATGCGAACGATGCGAAACAGTGTAACCTKAGGTCAGCAGATTCACCCTATCCGGCTACGTCATCGTCATYAAACTTCCTCTGAAAATCTGTACTTTGGATTTCGAAACAAGAAGCTTTATTTTCYTGGCAGATTTTGATAGAAAATTGGACTTATTTTCGATAGGATTGACACTTAGAAATCACAGAATAGTTTGTTATCGAAATGGTTGTTTTATATCCCCCGTTGAGGTGTATTTTTCGTTAAAAATGGGCTCTTGTCCTAATGTCTACACTACGCCGACGAACCAGGTCGAACAGTGAAGACCAAGACAACAACACAAAAACCAGCGTTTATTCAWCCACAAACCAAGTGGTTAACTCRGCTTCGGATATGACATCATGTAGAGAAAGGACACCGGAGTTTCTCTCCGCTGTTACATCCATCAGGACACGTCAGGTTTGTAAAAATCATGAAACTGAATTGGAATGTTGATCTTGGGTGCTAGACAGACGACCGGTTACCAGAGTATACGTGCGTTTAGTACTAGTAATAATGTTGATATTGATTTTATAATTGAAAAACACCAACATTATATTTTAYTACTCATAGTATTCATGGCTTTTTGATCTTGGTTTGAAGCCTTTAATAATAATTTTGTTTGATTATTTTGAATATTCATGATTGGTATCGGTTTTTAAGGTAATTTAGGTAATTTTCTCATATGATGTGTAATTGTTAGGGGTCGCCCTTTGCAAGTCAAAAGCATCAAGCTTTAAATGGTGTACATTCACAGAAAAGTCAGTTCTTCTTGATTGCCAAGTAAGTGAAATTGAGCTGTTTATTTATGTAAACAAAGTCGAGGRTATTGTTTACTTTCATGATTGCAAAATGATATCATGCAGAAATTGTTTTTAATAATTTTACCCTCTTTTTATGTTCTACACTCTCTTCCCTAACAARCCATTTTCTTTTTGTCAGACACATAGGCCATGACATCAGTAATACATTTTCCAAGCTGGAAAAATTGGCCATTTGTAAGTATTTTGTAAACAGGTCCAGATATTCCACAGAYAAGTTAACAGCCATAATGCATGAGTGTATGAGTCAATTCCAATTTACCTCTGTACAGTGGGGAATTTGACGGGCGGGAATTTGACGAGTAGGCGACCATCTTGGAAATTWTCGATTCAGATGCGAAACCGCTATTTCGTGACGCAATACGAACTTTTTAAGCTTAAGTTAAAAATAAAAATATCTCGGGAACCTAAGCATTTTAATAATAATAATACGTATTATTTATATAGTGCCGATATCCTTACAGTTCAAARGCGCTTCACATGATCATGGATCGCTAYTAGCAGCYACGAGGCTTACAATCATTTTTGGGAACATTCTCGACCTTTTGTACTTTCACGATGAGAAATCACGATACAAAAAGCAACAAAAACACTCGAAAACTAGCGTAAAAAAACTGACTTATRGGGCGGGCATTTGACCACTCATTTGCTTTTACTAGTGGGCATTTGACTGTCAATTTTGCCCATATGGTGGGGAATTTGATCAATTTTTTCCCAAAAAGTCAAATGCCTGGGGGTTCGCCCAGGGGGGTGATGGGCACCTTTGGAATTGACTCAATACGTAATTCATAAGGAAACACTACTTAGAATGATTGTATGCATAAATTTGCATCTCTTTCTCAATCAGGGTCAAAGGAGATGGACTGTTTCCATAGGTCGTAGTATTCGTTCCTCAATCTGTTCACGACAATATTTTGACAGAGGAAACTGGTACTGACTTATGGAATCAGTCTGCAAATGAGTTATGCATGCAATAAGTTATTTAAGTAAATTGTAGTCTTTCCTTATCTCCAGTAGTTTCCACAATTTCAGCTTGCCAAATTATAATAGCAAGTATCTAATGTAAAATGAATGATTTCAAATACATCTAAGTTGGAAAGGGAATAAACATAAGTKACTAGATAACACTTGTAATTGGATCTCTTTCTGCAAAATAAAATTTGACTATACTTTGAATCACTCAACTTTTTGCTTGCATGATTAGCTGTGTACTTAGTTAAACTACAGTATCATTTTTGGCCTGGAGAGCAAAAAGAGAAAATACATACTGCACTTGTGCTTATGGTATAATTGCTTTTGAAATGGCTGCTACAAGTTATATATTAACTTTGTCTGAACACTGTATTCTTACTATTTTTAAGTGGCCAAGAAAAAGTCTCTGTTTGATGATAGGCCCATGGAAATCCAAGAGCTCACATACATCATCAAACAGGTATATATTCATACAAATTTAATTGTTTTACTTGTGAGATTACTTTGCCTACAAGCTCACACAACATAGAAAGGCATGCTAAAATTTTGTGTCAAGTTATTACATTTCAAAATGTAACTTTATTATTTTATATGAAAAAATGCAGGATATTAACAGCTTGAATCAGCAAATCACACAGCTCCAAGAGGTATGTTTTTTTTTCACAAGATTACCATGATTACAAGAACAATTCTATATTGTCAATAAATTATTAGTAGTTAATATTGTTGTGTGATGTGTTTTTAGCTTGTGAAATCAAATAGTCAGTCTGAGGGAAAACACCAGCAACACCATTCAAATACAGTTGTATTAACTTTGCAGGTAAATAATGCTACATTGTATATTGTCCATTTTTTTCCTTCCTTCTATATGAAATCTTTTATGTCTTTATGCCCTTTTTCTCACATTTTTATTTCGTTTTATTTTTATGAAATCTTCATTCTTTCTTCACATGTACATCGTGTTAGCTTTGCTGTCAAGATATTATTTTAACAGTGTGCATCACCTCCTTATTCTACCTTTTCAGTCTAAACTTGCAACCATGTCAAAAGACTTCAAGTCAGTGTTAGAAGTAAGAACTGAGGTACGTCTAACAATTTAATTCCATGTGAAGACTGCTGTCATCGTAATTAAAACTTTGCATATCTTTTGTTTTGAAGAATTTAAAGCARCAAAGAGAGAGACGAGACAAGTTCTCACAGGGCGGTGTATCTGACAGCATCACAACTGCCTCTATGCCTGGTAGCTCTGGTAAGTGCAAGTTGTGCTACAATTACTGGGCTCTAAAGAACTGCTGGTCAAAGGACAATGTCCTTCCAAATTCGCTAGATGACTGGCCAAATCGGGTTTTGAAAGGACAAATTGACCTGCCACATTTTTAGACAGATCAATTCTCAATTCTCTATAAATAAATCTTTTACAAGCCATTAAAATGCTTGCCAATCTTTCTGAATACAAAAAACTATAAATTAAAAGAAATAATAGTATATAATAAAGTTTTTGTCCTTTCAAAATTTGACATGACCTTCCAAAAATGAATTTGGAAGGACATATTGTCCTGCATATGACTGGCCGTTATTTCAAGCCCTGTATTATGATGTACAGTTRGGTACTATTATCTAATGTATACTTGTGTTGTTGTAACAGTTCTTCAGAGATCAAGAGCAGCCCCTCCAGCACCGATGGGTGGGGATGTTGCTATTGACATGGGTGGAGCTGACAGCAGCCCACTTATGAATGAAATGAACCAAATGCAAATCATGGATGAGCAGGTACARCTTGACTGGAATGYATTGAAGATTTAAATCTTACTACACAATATATATTGAAATTCTTAGTAGCGGCCCTACATGCCACCTRGGCGTAATAGGAATGATGATGATGACACAATATATAAATAAGTATTGGCTACTGTTAATTGTATTCACATCATTCACATATGTTATGGTCAGTATGCAGTAAGTATGGTCAGTAGTCAGTATGCAGAATAATTCTAATTGGGAATGATTGTGGCTATTGTGTTAATGTGTCTTGGTTCAAGATGCTTATTGATGTGGAGACAGAAGTATGCAAATGCATATCAGTGACCATACTTTTACACATTGCAAATGAATGTAAAAAAAAGTATCTTCACCACTATTTTTAATTGCAAGTACACTGTATCTTTAGACTGATTCCTTGATCTATCCTCATGAACTGATAAAAGAATGCTTAGTATCCTTGATGTATTATTTACATAGGACACTTATATAAGAAGCAGAGCTACAGCCATGGAAAGTATCGAGTCCACCATTGTTGAGCTCGGTAGTATATTTTCTCAACTGGCCAACATGGTCAAAGAACAAGAAGAACAGATACAAAGGTAATTTGGTATAAAGCTCTTAAAATCATATTTTTTGGTCTTAAAATCTCTTAAAATTGTATTTTGTTGGGGGAAAAACTTGTGCAGGGAGGTGAAAGAATATGTTCACCTTCCACAGGAAGACCAAAGAAAGAGAAAAGGCACAGAGTTGTGCATAGAGGAGGCTTAAACTAACCTATTTTGTTGTTTATTACCAGAATTGATTCTAATGTTGAATCAACTGAAATGAATGTGGAGGCAGCCCATGGGGAGATTCTCAAGTACTTCCAGTCAGTCTCATCAAATCGCTGGCTTATCATCAAGATCTTCCTTGTTCTCATAGTGTTCTTTGTGATATTTGTTGTATTCATGGGTTAGGGAATAATTATTATCAAGGTGGTCAAAACTTGACCTTAATGGGAGGGAGATAGAAGATGTATCTCAACATCGTGATAGCTATCCTGGTCACAAATTATTTACTGAATGAAAAAAGAAAAGACCTGAATATTATTCCAACAATCCTTGGTTGCCCAGCCCTTAGTCAACCTAAAGTATCACAGAGAAACCAAACCCTGCTATATTATTAAATCTTAATAACTATCCGAAAAAATTGTAAAAATATCTTGTAGATAATTCTAATAGTGTCTTCTGTATGGTGACTTAGAATAATAATGCATTTACCTGATGAAAAAGACTGAGTTKTGTTTGCATATCATAGAAGGTTGAAAATGGGCACTGCATCATATCATGATAATAATTTAATTCATAAAAATGCAGAGCGTAATTTATTTCATTTGCGAGGGGAGGGGGGGCTGGTAGTAATCAACTTTTTGATTTTTTGGCTTATTTCTCAACCTCATAACTATTGCGCAGTCCCTAATCCTATCCTTGTAATCATTGCACATCTTTTAGCCATATTATGGAGAAAGAACACCATGACAGGTACCAGCTGCTGTCTGATAATAGTTGTGTACGTATTTCTAGTCGTGCTACCATGCCAAGCACCCTCAATCTGGCATGGGCCAATGCGTAACACATGACAGTTCTATTCTTTGCATATATGGTAGGAGAGAAAGGGAAAAAAAGTGAACTGACTAGCCTATTTGTCACTTGCACCTAAATAGCAAGCTCAAATTCACTTGAAATTGCCCTATCGCACAATTACGTGGTGGCAAGGGTGGTCTAGTGGTTAAACTACTGGAATCTCACCACTGTGGTCCGGGTTCGATTCCTGGGCACGGACCATATGTGAGTTTTGAGTTTGTTTGATGTGTTGTTCTCTCCCTTGCCACGAGGGTTTTTCTCCGGGTCCTCCGGTTTTCCTCCCTCAGTAAAAAATCAACATGTGAGGAGTGTTGTGTGCTAAAATAATTAATGTAGAGGTAGTGAGTGTGAGTGTGAGGGCCACAAGTTCATCAGTTATTTACTGTCACGTGTTACCCTCGTAAAATAAAGTCGATTTATTTATTTATTTATTTATTTATTTATTTACGTCACATGAAAACGTTCGTCGAGGGGATCAGAGTGAATGCATATCAAAAATGTAGGCGAGCTATCATTGATAAATAATATACATCAAAACTCGATACACTAAAGTAAGTTCGCTACTTTCGGAAAGAATATATATTCTAATGTTAAATTAAAATAAGTCCAATTTTCGAGTCATTTTGAACATCTATAGTACAATAATGTGACGTCTTCGCCAGGGAGCTCGGGGGTTTATTTCGGAATGAAAACGAGATGTGGATACTCTAAGAAAGACAGTCTTGAATCAGGAAGACTGACGAGGAGTTATGAAGGTCACTCGTCTTCTCARTTAAAGATTAAGTATACCGGCGCCGCAACCTTTGCGTGAAAACTCTGATCAAGAGCCACAAGCGAGCACAAGAAATATACACAGTGATTCAAACTTTCATTGAAGCGAATCATGCATAGCCGCAAATTTGGTACTAGGACGCGTACTTTAAAACTGTCAAGTGCTAGGGAAAAACCCCTGAACTGTTTGATAAATTGCGCTTGCGCTGGCGTTAGTATGATAATCCTGAGTAAWATATACCCACATTTAAGACACCGCAAAATTTTATTTATATAAAAGGGGCACACAACATTATTCCATGATGTTTCGGGGGATCGACCTTATCCCTCGCAAACATCATTTTCCCATTTTCCTTTGAAGTTATTACTCAAGCTTTACCTATCCGAACGATGTTATAAAAAATATAAGAAATTGTTTAAAAATGGCGGACTACACAATCGTTTTGTAAATTAATCTGATTTTTGTAATACGGTAAACAGTTTCTATGACTGAGTGTGTTACTACGACTGTCCTCCCTGTTTTCATAGTCCCCAGGGTTTTAGAACGTCGAAAATCATCACTGCCGTTTGCAATGTTTGTCTTWATGTGATTTATACACTGAACTCCCAGGATGAACAAGGAACAATTGTGCAGGCTTGTAATGAAAAAAGAGTTCGGGTTTTCCATGCTACATTTCACATAATAAGATTACAAGTTTCATTTCATAGAGCTTAAAAACATAACGACGACAGGTTTCGACCTAGTACAAGTAGATTTAGTTGTCATACAGTTTTATTGTTAATAGTTACATGTTATATATTCAGACCTATAGTTTATATCACACGTTCAGACCTCATCTCTCATTATATTCTCCTGGCGAAATAATTTGGAATTTGCTAAATACCCACCGAAAGCGGTTTGGGTTGAGCTCCACTGTTCAGCTACGAGTTGATTCAAGTTTTAGGGGGTTCCCCGTGGCTCGAGTTCAAGGTCTAATTTGCATATTTGCCGCTTGGCGTCTGTTATACCACGTAGGAAGCTTTTTGCCTGACGAACTAGTTATATTCTTTATATCTAAAACCTTTCCTCTACGTTTTCATTCATTTCGGAGTTGTTTTCGGTGAAAGATCTGTGAATCTAATTAGTCTGTGCTAATTTCGTATTGTATTTCTTATTCTGTCTGTTTGCTCGTTTCTTTGATTTATTTGTATCATTAGTTTGTTTAGTTTTTATGTTTAGGTTGAGATTTGGAATTTGTACCATTCTATTGTTGAGAAAATGGCCAAAATAGTGAGGTCGATTTGAGGCGGAGAACTAATTCGGGGGTAACGTTCTCCTAAGGTCCGGACCTCAAACTTACTTGCTTCGTCTCTGCTTTTATATGATAAATATTTACTTCAACGATAAATGTGGGACTGGCACTTTGATATTCAGTCAAGCCTCAGCTTGCAAAGTCTGCGCATGATGATACTACTTCAACCACTGACATTCGGCCCAACACACTACGCATGAACTTCGGGGATTCCCCTTATTAAAATTCATGAGACAGTTGACGATCATGTACGTACTAAGGCATTATGATTTGCAATTCTAATTTTAGTGCTAAAAAAAAACAAGGCCATGATACACCAGCATCCCTTTCAAGACTTTGTTTCACGTTTAAAAATAAAACTGAGTAGGTCGTAATATAAGCAAAAAATAACTCTTTATTATTAGACCTTTCAAAGACCTTTCAAAGCAAAAAATATAATTATAATTAATGCGGGGAACGACAGCTGCTCACAAATAAAATAACCTTGCGCATGTCTATTAACGATTTCCATATTGTGTGAGCTTGCAAAAGATCTTAGTTGCGCTCGTACTTTTTGAGCATGCGCTGTACCGAAAGCTCATTATATGCGAGCACCTGTGTTTTTGTCAGTTTTGTCATGTCAGTTAGTCTATTGTAAATGCTTCATACCCGAGTTGTTTTCAAGTGGAAGTGGGTTCCACTTCGCTAGTTAAAAACAGAAATTTGCATATGGACTGTTATTGACGATGAAATAGGATGGTTTGAGTTGAAGTGACTAACTTTAAACTTCATGAAAACACTGAGCGACAAATCCTAGGAAAAGCCTAGGAAATTTCCCTATTTAATTCATGAAACAGTTGCTGTTGTTTTATGGTGTTTGAGTTTATATAATTGATCATAACATTCTGTCCATAGGACTACTGTTAATGTTAAATTGATTCACATTCGAAAAAAGATGTTATTTGAAGTCAAGTTGGTAGGTGAGGGAAAGGGAATCAGGTTAATACGCTAATATAAACCCAACAGAGCTGAGATAACCCTCGCCATCCGGACCTCGAATACGTAGGGTTAACGTACTTTATATACTAGAAAAAATGCCTTTTGTTTGCAATGTGGGAGGAAGATCAGCAAAATGTACCACTAGAACTACRCATGCCTACTGCATGAGAATGTAGGTTTTTTTCCCCTTCGTAATTTCGTCTGTCTCTCTCAGTTTCTGCTAGATGGAAGTTTGGACACGAATATTTCTTGTGTCGCATCAAAGAAAGCCCGCTGTAAGCGACTTGCGCGAAGACATGCATCAGTATCATTATGTACATTACCTGAGGGTTTTCAATTATTTACATGCAATGTGATATGTTTTCAACTTATTACTTTTGATGGCAAAGAACGCCTCGATGTTAGATTTGCGAGTAATATGGCCACCACTGACAATAATGGTATACCGGACTATRGAGTATTGATAAGGAGGCTTGAAAAAATGAAGTTCTTCCATGGTTGTGATAAACAGTGTAAACTTCTGTCGCTCACAATAAAACAAATTACATGTAACTTGCGCTTGTCTATTGGCGACTGCTATAAATATCTTAGGTGCGCTCGTAATTTTTGAGCATGCGCTGTACCGAAAGCTCATTAAATGCGCGCACCTGAGTATTTTATGTATTCTAWTGTAAATGCTTCCTAATGGTGGGAACTAGCGGTAAACTAGTGTGAGCTGCGCCCGTGTTTCTAAAGAAACGGTTGTGAAAAAGATAAATTTAACACCTTAAAAAGTAGTGAAACAACTCAATTCGGACGATAATCCTTCGTCGGAGTTGTTTTCAAGTAGGGGGTTCCACTTCGTTAGTTACAAACAGAAATTTGCATTTGGACYTTTATTGATGATGCTAGAGTGATCGCATTTAATCCGTGCAACTGTGCAAACCAAATAGTTCTATTTAGTTGTATTTAGTAAATCGTGCATGCGGTACGCAAATTAAATTKAATTGATAAAAATGAAGCATTCAATACCGTCTTGCTTCAGGTCCACTTTTAGTACAAATTAATACTACTTAGATTTTGTATAGTTGCACGCTTTACAGTTGAGCTGAAGTTACTAACTTTAAACTTGAAAACACTGAGCACAAATCCTAAGGCCTAAACTGGGGAAATTTCCCTAATTAATATTCATGAAACAGTTGCTAAGCAATGTGACAAGAATATAATTTGCAATTCAAATWGTGGTCAACGACAATTTAAAAACATTCAGTCGCTACACCGTTCACACGTTGAAATTGAATTTGTATTTCAAATAACTTAGGAATAGGAAATCGTGGATTGAAAATACTTCATTTCCCTAAATACTCGATAACCATTCATTTAGTAAAACTACATTTTATGCTGTTTGAGATTTTATAGTTGTTAATGTTAAATTGAATCAAATTCGAAAAAAAATATARTATTTGAAGTCAAGGTGTAGGCGAGGGAAATGGGTAAGGTTCATACGAGACAAACCTCTCAATCTGTGAGATAACCCTCACCATCCGGACCTCAAATACATGTAGGTTAACGCACCTTTTATACTAGAAAAAATAACTTTTCTTTGCAATGTGGGAGGACGATTAGTATAATGTACTACTTTAAGAACTACGCATGCCTATTGAGAGGGTTTTTCCCTCCTCCGCAACCATTTCTGTCTCTCTCAGTTTCTGCTAGATGGAAGTCTGGGAACTTGTGCCCATCAAAGAAAACCAACTYGCGCGAGAGGAATAGAGAAAGACTGACAAAAGTTAAGAAATCTTTGAATGCACGAAATTTATTGTGTCTTTCTATTCTTAGGGATTATGTAGCACAATTTAGAAAGTTTTGAATATTTATGTTTCATGAAGATCGATTTCAGGGAAAAGCAGAGCGTATTTTTATTTATTAATCCGTGAAGCTAAAACACTTCTGAATCAACCTAAAACACAATAACAAGTGTGCCAAAAAGGTCAAGGTGTTTGCGAGGGATATATTCACTACGTATCCCTCATATCCACAACACGGACCTTAGTCACTGCTAGTTTGCATGGTTTATATACAAGTCAAATGTATTAATTACTTCCATGTGGGATTTGTACTATCCAGCAACAAAATATCTTGACATCGTTACGCATGACAGTCGTCTGCGTTACTTTCCCATTTTTTTTTAATCATGGGGATAGTAGGATCTGATGTGACAGAAGACTGATGTTAATATTTTAAATCGATAAAAAAGAATTAGATTAGAGCGAGAGCAATCTATCGATTCAGTTTTT